ATTAAAGCCGATTTAAATCTTAGATTTAATCGCATTGCGAATGCGAATAGCGCGCAGATTTTTATGTAAATATTAATCTACGCTCAATCGAAGGTATTTAAAATTTTAGCACGACATTAAAACGCGGCAAATTATGCGCGTCCCAAAGCTACACACACACACTGAAAGAGTAAAGCTTTTTTGTTGCTCATTCCCATGTTTTTATATTTGCACATATTTGCATACGCACGCTATTTATTCGTTTTCGTATTTAGTTTCAGTGGTGGCGTTTTTGTTTGCTCGCGCGATATTTATTTTTACGCGCCGCTTGTTTTTGGCCGGAGCGCCCTTTTTTTTATTTTTGGTTTGTTTGCATTTATTTGTATGTATCTTGGTTTTGACAGCGAAATCGCGACACGTTTTCGGAACTCCATTTAAATAAATAAGAAATAACCGAGGATGTAAAGTTCGGGAGTTTATTATATTCGCGCTGCATTCGAAGAATTCAATTAAAATACACACGACGTTTTATTGCCCACAAGTATAGTTATTAAACACAAGTATGAAAAACTTAAATAAAATTTTCTTTTTCCGATCGTTTTTCAAAGTTTGTTTACTTTTAAAATTTAAAACTTTCTGATGCCACAAAATAGATTTTGTCCGCGTGTATGCTGAAAACGTGTTTTAGGCAGTGGCAGTTTTTTATTTGTTTGTATTCTTATTAAAACTTAATTAATCACTCGCTTCCTTGTAGTTTCTTGCGGCCGATGTTTTGTCTACTAATACGCTTCGAAATAACTCCGCGCTGCGCGCATTCGAATCTCCGCGTGTTTTTTTTTTATTATAAAATTATGCTCGCCCTGCGCCCGGTCGTTTGTTTGCCCAAACTCGTTGATAATTTGGTGAATTTGGAAACGCGTTATGTGCATTTCGGGCTGCGGCGGGCGGACGGCAGGTGGTTGAGCGGGAAGTGCAAAGCTGTCGGCTGCGCGCTTGTTTTTTTTTATAAAAATGAATTGATTTTTATATTCTGATTTATCCATGGGCGCCTAGGTTTTTAATAATTGTCTCATTTACAAAGATTTGCCTGCGCGGGCAGCCGCACTAATTAAAGAAAATGACTTTCGATCGAATGCCCAGTTAATTTATCGATCTCTTCAGTTGCTTTTGGTTGAGTTTTCCCTTTTAATGAACACAATAATTATTGATTGGTGCAACAATAAATTATTTTCAGCTGGACTTGTTGCAAGTTGAACGTTGGATGGGCTGTTGCATTCAGGTTTATGGCAAATCTAAATTAGTGTTGCGTGTATGCTCATAAAGTACATTAAAACGCGTATGATAAGAAGATTCCAATAAATATATGATAGGAGCGCGCACGGTGCCGCCGTGCGGCCGCCGATACATATACACGAAACGCTACTTAAAATTGTTCATTCGCTGATTAACAACCCGCGCTTGGAGAGTCACCGCGCTCGGACGGTGAAGAAGGTGAAGAGATTCGACGAACGCCGATTTCTAAGGCACGCCAATCCGAGTGCACTCCAAGTGAGAAGTAATTTACTATTTCACGCAATTAGTACTTTTTTCTGTTTTGAAGATATTGCTTTATTTTGCAATTGTGGAAATAACCCTACTAATATTATAAATGCGAAAGTCCTGATGTTTGTTACACTTTCACGCAAAAACTACTTAACCGATCATCATGAAAATTTGTACACATATTCTTAGTGGTCCCCGAATGGTTGCATAAGAGCTACTTTTTATTTTAATAATAAAAAAATTATTTTTTTAAATACGCGATAAAATAGTTTAGCCAATAATACCTCACCATCTGGCTATTTGACTACTTTAACGTCATCTAGCATTCCAGCAATGAAGCTCAAACCTAGTATAGTACCATCACATAATATTATCACACTGTATTACCGACGTAAACGCTACGTCAACATCAAATCAATTGACTACACTATGGAACTGTACACTATACTTCCATAGACTATACTTTCAGCCATTTTAAACTTCCCCTTAATTCTACTTCATTGTTACTTCTTCTGTGACTGCAGACGCGTACGGAAGCAACTTCATTATTTTAGATATTCGCGAGTGAAGCTGCGGGTTAAAGCTGGTAAAATTATAAAAATGCTGCTCTGATCTATTTGTGTTATCTGCTGAGTACACTGTGGCGCAGATGACGTCGAAAATTAATTTATAATTACACGTTGCACGGCGGAACGCGCTTAAATTTTTATTAAATAATTATAGGCGGCGTAATGGCGAAGGACGCCAAAACGTAGGCGATATAATTAAGCAGTATCATTAAGTCACTCCTTCCGATACGGGCGGCGATTAGGCGGACGCGCGTACCGTCGAATTTCTTCAGATCACCGAGTGCGATATGCAAAAATCAGATGTGGATCGACTTTAATAAATATCGAATTTTTCGTCAAAATGAACGCATTCTTCTGACTATGACGTGAGGAACGGACATAAACGCGCGCACAGGATGCCGGAGCAAAAAGAGAAGAAAAAAACATGGTCGATGGTCGATGGTCTCAAGGAGCGCAGACGAGAAGAAACCAAAAGCAAGTCGAGTCATGCAATATTTAATATTTTTAATGAGGCGAATAAATTTTTGGGTTGTTTATGAATACATTATTATAATGTTTGGTTATACGCGTATCTTGATGCATGACATACCGAAATACAGGTACGTACCTAGCAAAATACCAACAACCAAGTTTTTGGCATCGTCTGAAATAATAATCAATCCCAGATCGAAATAATAAACGATAGTACAGCTACGTCAACATCAAATCCAATTGACTACACTATGGAGACTGTACACTATACTTCCATAGACTATACTTTCAGCCATTTTAAACTTCCCGCCATTCTACTTCATTGTTACTTCTTCTGTGACTACAGACGCGTACGGAAGCAACTTCATTATTTTAGATATTCGCGAGCGAAGCCAAGGGTTAAAGCTAGTTACCAATAAATCACTAAATTAAAAAGTGATTTTTATTTATTTTCCGGTTTTTTGGAATTTTTTGTTGCCGTGGCGGCCATTTTGTGTGAATTTAATTGAAATTTGCTCGCGCGTGCTTTAATTGGATTTTATTAATTGCGATCCAGTAATAAGTAATGGCGGCGTTCGATAATGTCATGTGAAGCCCTAAACAACATGCCGGAGATATTAATTTTCACTTTGTGCGCACACACCTCGCATGCAAAGCTCTCGAGGACTTCGAGCCAAGAATACGTGGAAACGCCATGGCGAGTATTCCTACCTTAGCCGGGAATATGGAATATAAGCTCGTTGCAACACACCGCACGTAGTTCGAAGCTCCAAAGAGTTATGGCCGAGGCGTTAAACTACGTGCAGGCGAGCTTTTTTCACATTTTCACATCGACCAAATCTCGCAATTATTAATTTTCTTACTACCTTTGCAATTGATTACACGAACAAAAATGAGCGCGAGTTGGATTTATGAACAATATGGGATTCATGGGATTATACTGGTTATTGCGTGGAGTCAGATTGAAAAGTCGTTGGTTTGGTTTCGTGCTGTTGAGCTTTTCTTGAGCTCGTCTCGACTTTGAAGTCGGCTGGGGTCCGCACGGCATTTATCGGGACCGCGGGCCGCCTGAGGTGCACAACGATGCATGATAAATGCGCTTTATAAAAAATATATGATCGAAATAAATGGTTAGATCGGTCGACGAGATCGGCGGCGCGCCGAGCGATGACCGAAGAATGGCCGCTGTAGCGCGGCGCGCCATGGCGTGGCGTTTGACGTGATTGAGAGATAGTGGGACGACGCTGCTGGGCTACCAACCACCACACCACCCGAACACGGCAATGACCAGGGCATAATCGCGCCCGGAATTAAAACATCCGAGATCCAATCGGACGAAACAAGAACTAAATCAGTTTGATCCGGGGGGACATTTTCTTCTACGCTTCTACATCTTGTCAACCTAATGTTACAAGTGTCGTGATATCGTTTTATCTTCTTTCTTGAGCCTAAAATTAGAAAATTAGTTGAATTATTAGTAGAATTGTGGATTCTTACGCACATAGTTTCTTCTTATGGTGGTGATAGCCATTCCTGTCTGGGTTGTGAACGCAGTGTCGCCGGTGGTATGAAGAAAACGTTTATTTGTTCGCAATTGTCGAAGTTTTTCGAAGCGGGCCCCAATCGAGACAGGCCGAACGATTTTGAAATATTTGCGGGCTTGGGCGACTCGTTTAGCGGCCGAAATGAGCGCGGCGGGAATGCGCGCGTGTGGATACGCCGAACTCCGGCGGTGCCTCTTTGACGCTCTGTTTTCGGATTAATTCGACTCGAATACTAATGAGCACGCCGGCGAGTATTTAAAAATGCGCTGCCATTCGGGAATGCGCCCGCCAAACCACCCGAAACTCATTATATAACCGGACATTATCGCCGATTTTTGCGCGCTGATTCGTCACTCACTCACGCATGCGCATTCGCAACTCGTGTGCATTTATTTGAATATCTTAGCCGCACAATAAATACAGTAAATTGATTTGATAAATGATGGACGCGCCGCAAAGGGTCATACAATGTCTGCACGTGGTATTTCGCTTATTGGGCGCTCCGGCGCGCGTTTGTTGGTTCATTTAGCTATTGCAATATAAACAACTCTTGCGTGATTGCGTCTGCGCTCTGTGCGAGTCGAGATCTCGGAGGCCAGAGAGGTTGGAAACAAGAAGCGGCGCGCATTCCACGCACGCACACACATTCGCCGCCCGCCCGGCCGTAATCACATTATTTATTCACATTACCAATAGACCGATGCCCCTCGCAAAGCTCGCGCACCTCGCCAACCGATAAGTCAAAGTGCGACGTCGATTCAGATCGTAAATTTTCATTTTTACTCCAATGCGGTTACTGCTAGGAAGTATTTATCAGGGTACGAATCTAATTCTAACCTCAATTTTATTTGCAATTTGTTTTAATTATATTTACACAACTATTTAATAATTACAGGTGCAAATCAACGTGTTGGATAAAAATGACAGTCCTCCATCATTTGCTGATTCCACGCTGACATTCAGTGTCTCTGAAGATTTGGGCCAGGGTTTCACCGTTGCGAGGATCCAAGCCCACGATCCAGATTCCATCGGAAAATTAGAATACTCACTGGTCTCGCCAAATATCACCGAGTTCACATTGGATGCAAACACAGGCGTCCTCAAGCTTGCGGATACGTTGGACAGGGAGGCGCGAGATATCTACACGCTGACGGTGCGCGCCAGCGACGGCATACAACACACCGATGCCACGATTACAGTACAGGTAGGTTCCAGCCAGGCAACATACTGGCACTGGCGTTATTGAACAATCAGCGTAATCTATTTAGACATAGGTATCAATAACTCAGCCGTCGACTGACACACGGCAAACACACACCCGAATGTTGTACATGGCATACAACAGACAAACGAACCCGATGCGAAGAGAACAACGGGGCGACCCATCTGTACGATCGCGAACAACTTCCGCATTACTGGTGTGCTGCAGAGCCACAGTACTGCAGCAATGCATCATCATTGCGAGTGCAAAGTGCTCTTTTCCTTGCATAACATCCACCGGGCGTTGCAATTCCACACATAACCTCAACAAACCATCGCTGTTGTAGGCAACCCTTTACACATTTTGATGTCATTCGGTATTTGCTGTGTTATCTGTCGTGGACGCTCACATAAACACTCTACTGCCGAACACATCGAGTTAGTTAGGCGCGCAATACGTATAGAAAAGCGTAGCGTACGGCCTGCCCGAAGAAAGATAAGTGGCAGCAATTTCTGTATTTGACATGTGACAGGTGAAAAAATTACATCGTTTCATTAGCGCAGCGCGAACTCACAACAAACTCTCGAGTGTAGAGCGAGGCGTAATAGCGTGGCATCGAATAATTTAAATATCGGATGCGAACGACGGTCATTTCACCTCGCTTCATTTCATTTCAAAGTCAGGTTTCTGGTCGCTAGTTTATCGTTTCTGGTCTCTGATTTCTGATTCCAAACTGCTAGAGCCACTGGGTTGCCACTGGGTGTTTGTAAACAATATCGGCATTAGATTACGATTTATTATCGATCAAATAATTTATATTCTCATCTATGACCAAGAAGTTTAAAAAAAAAATTTTTTTTTCTTCTAAAATTTTAAATGTTGATATAATAGTTAATTAGTCTTTAAATTATCTACAAAATGACACCACACTCAATTTTCCGCGATGTCTGAGCCCTGATTTATCACACGGAAAATATAATTTAAATAAATAAACCTCTGCTATTAATTCGTTTCGATTTTTGTGTAACATGATCAGTTTTAACCTTAAAGACTCGCATAGATAAAATCTTGTTTGCTTAATATACGTCTATTAACTAAATATCGACCCACCGGCTTAGGCAATAACAAATATACCCCGATTAACAAAACCGGATTCCGTTAACACGCGTTTACGGCAGCGCAGCAAGATTCGTTTATGATTCTAAGCGTGGAGATAACGCAACTTAAATGTCTATCATTCGGTTTTTTTTTCTTACAGGTGACAGACACGAATGACAATCCACCTGCTTTCCTGGAGAACGCCTACTCGTTTGACATACCGGAAGACGCACCTCGTGGCTACCGCGTCGGCGTCGTGCGCGCTGAAGATGCTGATGTCGGGAGCAACTCACAACTTACCTACACAGTTATCTCCGACTGGGCCAATGATGTATTTTCGCTCAATCCACAGACGGGAGTGTTCACTCTTACCGCCAGACTAGATTATGAAGAGGTAAGCATTTGTATTTTTCAACATTCCAAAATGGCCGCCCGATTAATATCAGAATTTCCCCCAAATATTATGCCGAGTTGAACGTTTTTTAAGTACTGCGTTGAGTTTTGCGGTTGATGGTGCGCAGTGTGTTTAGTGAGGAATTTTAAACTCGAAGAGCTGTGTCCGTTGTCGAAGCTCGCGAGCTTTTTACCTCCCGGTGGCTGGTGCTACCAGCGTTTTATTATTTCGCTGGCCGGCGGCCATCTCTTCCCTGAAACGCAGCGAATGACAAAAAGTCGTCGGGCGTGTTCGCGTTCGAAACGCGAACGCATTTAGCGGAACTGTCGCTTCGCCGTCTCGCCAGTTTTTGCGCGCCACAAGATGCGCGCTGGAGAACAATTAACGACTCGACAAACAAGTTAAAGACCAACTAACTGTCCGACGCTGAAATACTGATAATGCCCCCGATGATTTTATAGTCAATACAATTTCGCTTTTCAATTACTCGTGACTTTTTGTCGATGACGAGAAATGTGTAGGAGCGTTTAACGCAATTAAACGATAACAGACCATAATCATTATTGAATTATTGAATAATAATCGCGCGATGGTGTGATGCATATTTGAATCACACGATTGCTTTATTATGCTAAACGCGTGCAAATGTTTAACACGCGTTGCGGAAATGTTTGAAAGGTGAAATTTACGATGACAGCACGAAATTTGGATGTTTTGCATGTGTGCAAATACTTGAACAAATTATCTTTGAGAATTATTGTTTGTGTTTCTCGTTTTACTTTGATTTATGTCTTGGAAAATTGAAAATTAGTTTTGCACACCTTGATTTATTGTGATCCAAACCCAAGACTTGCAAAACATCTTCATTAATGTTAATTTTGATTATTTGAATCTTACACAGAGGAATATGGTTTTGATGCAGTAAAAAATGATAAAAGCTTTCGAATATATGCGTTTTTGATGATCAAATATAAGTTTATTAGTTGATTGGAGTATGAATCGAATACGTTTGATGTTTTCAAGATGGCGCGATTGAAAGAAGACATGTAGCGATGAGAAAATAGCAGGCATTGGTCGATGGATTTTTAATAAAAGCCGAACAAAAAGTCAAAGAAAACAGGACGGCACGGCACGTTGCTCAAAACTATCATACCATATAAAGCGCTGGCCGGATCGAAAACGACAATCGAGTAATATATTATTCAATTATACACATTTATACCATTTATCTTGGCGCTCGGCGGACAGCGAGCTAGACAAACAAAACGGCGCGCAACATTTATATACGTACATATGCGCGAAGCCTGTCGATATTTATGAATTAAAATTATTTACGAGTGGCGATCTAACGAGTTTTTCAGCGCACCGCAACGCGCGCGCTGGATGTAATTTCAGACAAAGACGCGACTGATAAATAGTCGCACGCTCGCGTCAAAGCAAACACTCCGCGAAACAGTGCATTTCATTTCGCGAAATTCTGCACATCATTTCTGGATTGATGTGTGGACGGCGCTCGCGACTTTTTCCACGCCGACATTCTTTAACCGGCGCAAATGCGCGCGCCGCGCACCGCGAGCCTATTAACAAAAGTTTTATCGCACTTCCCGTCATTCTACTTCATTGTTACTTCTTCTGTGACTACAGACGCGTACGGAAGCAACTTCATTATTTTAGATATTCGCGAGCAAAGCCAAGGGTTAAAGCTAGTTTATTATAAAAATCTCTGTTTTTTTTTTGTGTTCATTGTGGTTGCTCATGTTTTTCGTTTCGTGCAACGAAATTCGATAACGCATCTGCATCTGCATTTTCTGGCAGCGGCGTCGGGTAATTATTTTAATTCGGACACCTTGCAGGTATTTCATATTCGGGCAAGCCTCGCGCACACCGGAGAACTGCTTTTATTCTTTTATCTGAAATTTTATTTTTTTTATCTACCGTACGCCGAACGCGCGTAACTACGTGGAGTAATTTTACATTTATCACGGGCTATAAAAACCAATTTATCATACGAAGTATGTCTTCCTCGTAAATTTAACTCAGCAGATGAACCGCCTAAAATTTAAAATCTAGAAATCAAAATATATGCTTCACCTCACCACAGCCAGCTGAATGAATTAAAATTTTTAAGTATTTCTTTGTCAGCGCACATACTTTTTGTGCACTTGTGCAATAATTACACTTTTATTATTTTAATTGTTTTATTTATTATAAAGCAATAAACTTGCGCGGATCGGAATGCGGCGTTTACAGCCACGAAAAACGTCGCGCAGAGCAAATTTATCGTTTAATTGCGTTAAACTCTCCCGTCATAATTAAATATTCGTATAAATCTATCACGTTAATTTGCTTTCACAATCGTGTGCGCGCAGTGTGCACGATTCTCAAGCCTTCCAGCCTTTACTCTCTTGGCGATTTTTCGCCACGAGCGCGTACACATTTTGTCTATGTCTCTACCCGACGAAAGCCCATGGTTTACAGCGCGCAATTTCGAAAAATCGTCGACAATCCCAACTTTAAGTCAAGTCATGCGGAAAACGGAATGGTTTACAGGTTTGTGCAGTTTTGTACAGTTAGTCGGCAAGACGAAATTTAATTAGTTCCTGCAGCCATATTGCTAGTTTGGTGTGTGTTTCTCTCGTGGCACGCACACATCACGTTCACATAAATATACGCTCGCCACCTTAACAACAACAACAACAACAATAATGTTGAAGAACAACGAGGAATTGCGCACACACAACAAAACTGCATCAGCAAGACAAAGCGTTGCTTGCTAGATTTCTTCTAGATCATAAAGTTAAAAGTTTCTGGTATGTTCGTGTAGGATGATGGGATGGTGTTCAAAGATGCAAATTATTGTATTTTCTGGAAAATCTAACCATATTTAACATTTAATGCTCAATTTTGATTTTTGCGTGTCACAAACTAACGGCACCACAGACTGTTTGTTGAGCTTTTCGTAAATTATGTAATAACGACATAAACGCTCAAAGCAACCCATACATGTCTACAGCGAGCCACACGTGTTTAATATTTGAATAATCTATATATATATATATAAATGAATTGCTGTTCGTTAGTCTCGCTAAAACTCGAGAACGGCTGAACGGATTTATCTTATCTTGGTCTTGAATTATTCGTGGAGGTCTAGGGAAGGTAAACGATCCAAACTTGATAGAAACAAAGTTATTAGTTAATTACTTCAAGGCGCGACGCGTAATAGTAATGATTTCTTTTGTCTGAATACGGTTTTTCCTATTAGTATTCAATAGTTAAAATTATATTTTTTAATTCTTTAATTCTTGAACTTATTCAGGCGACAATAGTGGTGAAAGATGTCAACGATATGTCTCCGGAGTTCATCACAGGGAATCAAACGCGTGGCCAGTAATACCGCTGAATACAGTTTGTAACAGCCGTGGAGCTGGGGTAAGACTGAGAGACGCAACGGTTACATCGAATATTACTTGATTAACGACGCGGACCGCCCGAGCGGCGCGTTTTCTTTGGGGCCTGTGGATGGGTTACTGCGAGTTGCTGGAAAAATCGATCGCGAACGCCAGAGTCGGTATGTCCTACACATCGAAGCGAAAGATCGGGGTGACCCGCCGAGAATTACAACTTCTGAGTTGGTTGTCACCGTTTTGGACGAGAACGACAATAGTCCCGTGTTTGACCCGAAACAATATAGCGCCACTATTGCAGAGAATGCTTCAATTGGAGCCAGTGTGCTTATGGTATGCCATAAATAATTGTTTTAGACGTTTAGCTATTTTATTTTCCATATTTATAGGTCTCTGCAACGGATTTGGACGATGGTCTTAACAGTCGCGTGAGATTTTCTATAGTAAGCGGTGATAAAAATAGAGATTTCTCCGTTGCTGAAGACACCGGTATAATCAGAGTTGCTAAAAATCTCAACTTTGAACGAAAATCTAAGTATATGCTCACTGTAAAAGCTGAAGACTGTGCGAGTGATGTTGATGGCGGCATTGTCCGTTCTGATCTAGCACAAGTTTCAATCACAGTCTCTGATATAAATGATAATCCTCCAACTTTCCTTGATTCCCCATACCTTGCATATGTAACAGAAAATGTGCTACCACCCAATGGAGGCTACGTTATCACCGTGCAAGCATTTGATGCGGACACACCACCATTCAATTCCCTGGTGCGGTATTTCATCAAAGAAGGCGACACAGACATATTCAGGATCAACGCATCCACCGGCGAGCTGTCCCTTTTGCGCGCGTTGGACCGCGAGATCCAGGGCGAGTACTCGCTGTCCCTCGTCGCCATGGACACTGGTAGGTTACCGAAATTATACAAATGACGCGCGCATTCGCTGATAAATGCCGGAATGCGTCGCTAATGAACATCATTATCTGTTGGTCCGTTGATATTTTATGTCGCTTTTTAATGCACACAATAAAGTACGATAAGCAGCGACACGCGGGAATTTACGCAACTCAAAAGTGAAATAAATGATCTGCTGTTGGGTTCATTTAGATTACGCCTTCTTTTGAATCCTAACGTTTTGTTTCTTTACAGGTTCACCACCTCTAACAGGCTCAGGAACAGTAAAAATCATCGTGCAGGATGTCAACGACAACACGCCTGAGTTCAAACGGCAATCATATCGTGCAACCATCAAGGAAAATAGTCCTGTCGGGTCATTGGTTTTATCACCAACAGCAACCGATAAAGATATCGGTTTAAATGCAAAACTTCGGTATAGTCTTCTCGGCGATAAAGTTCATCGCTTTAAGATCAACTCAGTGACTGGTCAAATTACCACCAATTCTAAATTAGATCGTGAAGAGGAAGACTTTTATCATTTTACCCTCATGGCTCAAGATGGTTCTACGACAGAACCACGCGCTGTCACTGTGAATCTCACTATCATCGTTGAAGATGAAAACGACAACGCGCCAACATTTTCCGCTAATAATTATCATGTATATATTCCGGATCAAAATGGTGCTGAACAATTCATATTTGGTGCTAAGGCAGTTGATCTTGACAAGGGGAAAACAGTAAGATTATTTATAGAATTATGGGTGACAATTCCAATCTCTTTAAAATCAATTCGAAAACTGGTGTGATCAAGACGAACACTATCTTATCAAAAACCGGTAAGGAAAACTTTGTGGTTGAAATTGAAGCAATGGACAATGGGGTTGTTAAAAAATCGGCTAGGACCATGTTGCGGGTACATCTAAAACCATCAAAATTGTTCCCTACATTTTCTCCTTTATCTGATAATCAATTCAAGTTGATGGAGAATGTTGAAGAAGGTCGTACTATCACTAGACTAAGGGCAACGTCAAATAAAAAAGGTTCCGCTGGTATTATTCGGTACGACATTGCTGGAGGGAATATTGGGGATGCACTACAAATTGACAAGGTCACTGGAGAGGTACAAGTTGCTGCGCAAGGTTTAGATTATGAAGCAACAGCCACATACGAAGTATGGTTTGAAGCGCGAGATTCTGATGATCCTCCACTTAGGAGCGTAATGATGTTGACCATCAACGTAACAGATACAAACGACAATCCTCCGATAATGACACGTTCAATGTACAATGCAACAGTGCTTGAAGAAGAAACACCTCCGTTGTTAGTTGTGAAGATATCCGCGACTGATGTAGACTCGGGTAAAATGGAGAAATCCTTTACAAACTTATTGACGATTTTGATGGCATCTTTGAAATAGATGAAGAAAGTGGTGAGGTATACACCAATGCTAAATTGGATCGTGAAGAAACTCCTAATTATGAACTAATCGTGGAAGCTATCGACCAGGGAACTCCTCAATTATCCGGAACAGCAACGGTGGTTATTAATGTACTAGATAAGAACGACAATCCTCCACGTTTTACAAGACTGTTTAGTGTTAATGTGACTGAGAACGCCGAGATCGGTTCATTTGTAATCAAGGTGACAAGTTCTGACTTGGATGAAGGTGAAAATGCAAACGCTACCTACAGTTTAACTGAAAACCCAGGTGATAAGTTTAAAATTGATCCAGCAAGTGGTAACGTGACAGTAGTAGGTATGTTAGATCGCGAACAACAAGACGAATATATACTCAAGATTTCCGCTGTGGACAGTGCGTGGAGAGCGGAGACTCCATTAACAATTACAATTCAAGACCAAAACGATAACGCACCGGAATTTGAACACTCTTACTATAGTTTCAATTTTCCCGAACTACAACGTAATATTATTTTCGTGGGTCAGGTATCTGCCACGGATAGAGACAAACAAGGACCTAATGCAGTTATTAGCTATTCTCTTCAGCAACCATCAGATTTATTCAGTGTCGATCCAGCATCTGGGGAAATCTTTAGTAAGAAATCACTAAAATATAAACACGCACAGTTTGAGCCATCACCTGAGAATGTATACTCGTTAACAATCCTCGCGACAGATAACGGCAAGCCACCGATGAGTTCAGAGTGTTTGGTTACAATCAATGTTGTGGATGCAAATAATAATGCGCCAATGTTTAAACAAAAGAGTTATCTGACATCAGTCCCACAAGATGTTGTACCTGGCCAGAAACTGGTGCAAACGATAGCTGTTGATGAACAAGATTTTGGTATTAACGCAGAAATTGGATATACTATTGTTGGAGGTAATGGCAGTAGTATTTTCGACATTGATCGAAACACCGGGTGGGTTACGCTGAAAGCAAACGTGCATGGAGTTGGAAACACATACAATATTATTGTCAGGGCTACAGATAAAGGTATACCACCTCAAATGGACGAAGTACCTGTCTCGTTAATAATTGCAGGAGAGAACACACATTCTCCTGTTTTTACCGCATTGAGGTATCAAGTGATTGTACCTGAAAACGAACCTTTGGGATCAACTATTCTTACAGTTAATGCGGTTGACGCTGATGATGGCCCCAATGGATTGATTCGATATGAAATTTCTGGTGGTAATGCAAAATCAGAGTTTGCGGTAGATGCCCAAACAGGCGCAGTCACCATCTTGAAACCCTTAGATTATGACACTGTACAAGAGTATCACATAAACATCACAGCCACAGATTTGGGCTTTATTTCTAAAAAGGCAACAGCAATGTTGACCATAACGTTAACTGATATCAACGATAATTCGCCGATCTTTAACCAAAGTATTTATGAAGGTTACATCTCAGAAAATCAGCCTCCAAAGAGTTTCGTTTATCAAGTGAAAGCTACAGATATAGATAGTCTTAAGAACGCAATCATCATTTACACAATATCTGGAGGGACTGGTATGAATGTATTGACTATCGATTCTAAAACAGGAATTGTCCGCACCAAAATTGCTTTTGATTACGAAGATGTCAAGTTGTACACGTTAAACATCATTGCGTCAAACCCAGATTCTCCAATGTTTTCGTCAACTGTTCTCAGGGTTCATATAACAGGCGTTAACGAATTTTATCCCAGGTTTGTTCAACCAGTCTTTCATTTTGATGTGTCTGAATCCACGGATGTTGGAACTTCAATTGGTCGGATTCAAGCTTCTGATCAGGATGCTGGAGAAGATGGAAAGGTTTATTATCACTTTGTTGGGTCTTCCAATGACAAAGGTTTTGCAATCAACTCGGCAACAGGCATCATAACAGTGTCACGAAATTTAGACAGAGAAACTCAATCCAGAGTTGTTCTTACTATTCTTGCAAAGAACGCCGGGGTATTCGTGGAAATGACACAGATGAAGCACAAGTTATTGTCTCCATTCAGGATGGTAATGATCCACCTGAATTTTTGAAGGTGTTATATGAAGCACAAATATCTGAAGGTGCTTCGATTGGTTCCAAGGTAATCAGCGTTAAAGCTGTTGACAAAGATGTTCGACCGCAAAATAATCAATTCAGTTATTCAATAATTGCGGGTAATATTGACAACGCATTTAAAATAGATCCACAAAATGGCGAAATTGAAACCATGAACACTTTAGATCGCGAAAATATTGAATTGTACACTTTGACCATTGGAGGAATAGATACAGGTATTCCACCTCAGACAGGAACAACTACAGTGAAGATACATGTTACTGATGTTAACGATAACGGCCCTGTTTTTGACCCGTCACAATTGGTCAGTAAGGTTTTGGAGAACGAACCACCAAATACCAAGATTACTGTTTTGTCGGCAAGAGATCCCGACCTTCCACCAAATGGTGCACCGTTTGCTTATAAAATAATCGGTGGCAAGCATCATGACTTTGTACGACTAGAAAAGCATACTGGTTTGTTAGTGACCACGAGGATAATTGACCGTGAAATTATCCCTGAATTAGATCTCATTGTTGAAGTGGAAGATAGTGGTAGACCTAAACAAAGATCACAGTATAATTTCAAGGTGACTGTGTTGGATCAGAATGATAGCCCATCAAGTCCCCGGACAGCTCATGTTTTAGTACATTCATTTAGGGGTGAATACCCGATTGGTAAGATTGCTCAGGTGCAACCCAACGATCCTGACATCACAGGTGACTACAAATGTAGAATCGTACAGCGTGGCAATTCGATTGAATCAATTTTAAGCATTCCAAGTGGTTGTAATTTGTACACTAGCAGAGTATCATCCTCCATGGGACATTCCCTGTCGATTGTGGGTAATGATGGGGTGCATGGCGACGTAACTTCCACAATTACCGTAGAATATATCAACTTTGACAACGCAACTATACAAAATTCAATAACAATTCGGATGGTTAACATCACAGCCACGTATTTTTTGGGCAATTTCTACAAGAGTTTCCTGGATGTTCTCAAGTCAACATTTTCATCTTCGGACCAAATTATTCTGTATGGTCTCCAGGAACGTAATAAAACTCTGGAGTTATTTTTTGCTGTGCGGGAACCAACATCTAATGGTCTTGGGTACAAGTCGAAGTCATTCATTACAGAAAAGGTCCTGAAGAAACAATCTGCTTTGAACAACCTCTTCCAACAAGAAGTTAAAATTAATTATAATCCATGTGCAAGGAATACCTGTGAACATGAAGGGTTGTGTTCAGAATCTATAGTTATCCGTCCACAGACCAATATAACAGATTCTCCCAGTATTATTTTCACATCACCACAAGTGGAACACGAATATAAATGCCACTGCCGAGAGGGTTATGACGGTTTGAACTGCGAACGTAAGCAAGATCCATGTCAACCCAATCCCTGCAAATCCGGTGGACAATGTAGACGACAAGGATTTGGCTTCCAATGCGTTTGTCCATCAAATAAAGACGGCAAACTTTGTGAACTGGAACATGGGGATGTGTGTTCGGACAACCCATGTAGGAATGGAGGATCCTGTAGAGGAAGTCCTGATGGTTCATCATTCTTCTGTTTATGTCGTCTGGGCTTCCGGGGAACTCAATGTGAGACATTAGTAGATTCCTGTAGACCTAATCCATGTTTACACGGAGGGTTGTGCATAAGTTTGAAGCCGGGTTATAAATGTGCTTGTACTGAAGGGCGGTATGGTCGACATTGTGAAACATCTACGTTTGGATTCAAGGAACTCTCGTACATGACTTTTCCCACTCTTGATGCAGCCACCAACGATATTTCATTCATTTTTGCCACAACTAAACCCAATTCACTGCTGGTCTATAACTATGGGCTGCACACTGGTGGAAGGAGTGACTTCGTTGCGGTTGAACTGGTCAATGCGGAAGCTGTGTTTTCTTTCGGTGGCGCACGTACGGCCATAACCAGTGTGCGAACAAAAGGTAAAAACAATAATCTCGCTGATGGCAACTGGCATAAAATTACAGCTACGAGAAATGGGAAGGTCATTAGTTTGAGTGTGGGTGCTTGTACTGATCAGGGCGATGTTTGCGATGAGTGCAAACCAGGAGATTCGTCCTGTTATGCTGATGATATTGGTCCAACTGGGTATGTTATATTATATTAATCAATGTTCATAATTCCTTAATTACATTGACAAATAATTTATTTACAGCACACTAAATTTTAACAACAACCCTGTGATAATTGGAGGTTTGCCAAGCGCGGATCCCATTCTGGAGCGACCAGGTCAAGTCCATTCTGATGATCTGGTTGGCTGCGTGCATAGTGTCTCAATCAACGGTCGCCAACTTAATTTAAGCCATCCTTTGGAATCATACGCTGTTGACCCCACTTGCGGGAGAAAGGGCACCTGTAAAACTTCTTCCGACACTTGTGGAGAGCAAGGAACTTGCTTGGATCGTTGGCATAGTACTAGTTGCATTTGTGGTCAGAATCTGTTAGCACCGGACTGTGAATCAGCATTGCAACCAATAAGTCTTAGCAATGGTGGCTATGTGGAGTTAACTATCAGTAAAAAACATCGCAGGATGCAACTCTTGGAAAATCTCTACGGAGGATCCACATGGCATAATAGCAAACGTAGTATTGACAAGAGAGCCGTACTTGTTCCAGTCAACAACGCTGTGCCTATGAACACACCACCAAAACGAATGAGTTTGCTTTTTAGAACTATCCAACAAAATGGTGTGTTATTCTACGCAGCAAGTAACAAGCATTACACCAGCTTGGAGCTTAGGGATGGTAAAATTGTCTACATGAGTAAACAAAACAACATTGTCAATATGTCTGATGTTCATCATGTGAATGATGGCAAATGGCACAATATTACTCTGTTTTCACACCACAGAGAGCTTAAAGTTTTACTGGACAATCAAAAAATAGGTGATGTATTGGACACAGCAGGAGTACACGACTTTTTAGATCCATATCTTAATTACCTCTCCTTGGGCGGAGTAGCATCAAATGTGTACTACAGCACGCACAGTACAAACAAGCAGTTTGAGGGTTGTTTGGTTAATTTTACCGTAAACAACGAGATTCAACCCTTAAACGGCTCTGGTAGCATTTTTGCACAGGTTGTCTCGAAAGGAAAGATAATGCGAGGTTGTAATGGTTTAATTGGTCTGGGGGCAGTTGTTGCCCCTGATCCTTTAAGTATTGGTATCACTTTAGTGATCATTTTCTTTGTGGTGCTATTGGTTGCCATTTTTGTCTCATTCCTTGTATTCCGATTGCGCAAACAAAGTAAAGAAAAAAGTGGAGTCCCTGGCAGCCCAAGTAACATCCACAGCAAACAAAATGGCAACTCTACAGTCATCAACTCTAATGGTCTCTTGAACGGAGAAAACGTTTTGTCAAGATCGTTACATGTCAATGAATCAGCTATGGCATACCATTCTGAAAACGGCGATGTCATTCGTGGAATTGGTGGCCATCCAATCGTTGGTCCTGAATTATTATCGAAGAAATTTAAAGAAAGAGATATTATGCCTGGAGATTTACAAAGATCTCAACGACCTGATATAATTGACAGAGAAGTCCTCCAGAAGCCACAATCTTTGAGAGATTTGCCGCCGTCAGTGAACCATAGCCATGATCACGTATCCAACGACTTGAATTCAGAATTACCTGAACACTACGATTTAGAAAACGCCAGTAGTATTGCCCCATCAGACATTGACATTATCTATCATTATAAAGGATATCGGGAAGCGGCCGGCATGAGAAAGTACAAAGCTAATCCTCTGCCAGGTTTCCATCATAAACACGCTGGAGCACAGGGTCAAGCACAACATAGACACTCTCCGCACCATCCCAGCAGTTTTCCATCTCGTGGTCCACCTGTAAGTGGATCAGGATCAAGGCCTCATCAAAGTACTCCTCTTGCCAGATTAAGTCCCAGCAGCGAAATGAGTGCACAACAGCCTAGAATACTGACATTGCATGACATCAGTGGTAAACCTTTACAGAGCGCATTGTTGGCTACAACATCTTCATCAGGTGGCGTAGGTAAAGACGTTCTGCATTCAAACAGCGAGCGAAGTCTTAACAGCCCTGTAATGTCCCAACTTAGTGGGCAAAGTTCAGCGAGTAGAAAGGTTTCTGGGCCACCACCTGTGACACCAAACAACCCAGGCATGAGTTTAACTGCTGAGGAGATTGAAAGACTGAACGTCCGGCCGCGCACGTCAAGCCTAGTATCAACCTTGGACGCTGTATCAAGTTCAAGTGAAGCACCTAGAGGATCGGTACATAATCATCTATCACATTTACATCATTCTCCCATACCAGAAACCCATCACAGCTCATCAACAACCGACGAAAGTGGAAATGATAGCTTTACGTGTTCGGAAATTGAATACGACAATGCGTCGCTGGCAGGTGATAAGTACAAACAGAATGAGCCAGAGAGTAGGCGCAGCAATAGCAGCATTAGTAATAAGAACAATATAGCGCCGCCATCCTACGATGGGTTTGATTCATCTTACAGGGGATCGATGAGTACTCTGGTGGCTAGCGATGATGAGTTGGGTGGACTCTATCGACCTCCAACTGGTTCCTCCACGAATACAGCGCTGGGTTGGGATTATTTGTTGAATTGGGGACCCAACTTTGAAAGTTTAGCGGGTGTGTTTAAGGATATCGCCGAATTGCCCGATAATGTAAACGGATGCGTTTCCAGTTTGCGACTGACAAATGCAAACAAACCTTCGGAGGAATACGTGTAAGCTGTATCAAAAGTGTAAATTGAAAACGAAATCGAAGTGACTCACGCCTTGTATCAAGGTGCAGAATATGTGAAATTGAAGACGATTTCGTTTCTTGCCATATTATTATAAAAATGTATTATTTTGTGAATATTGTCACGTAGCTCCTAAGTTCCTGTCAACGCCTACACCTACATCTACCTAAATAGTTTTATGTTTCTATAACTTGTGTGTAAATATTGTGTATTTCGTTAGGTTATTTGCAGTAGTGTAAAAGAAAATGTAATAAATACAAACATTTAAAAAATTAATTCATTAATAGCAAATGTTGAGGTAATACACTCAAGCAAAAGAATCAATAGACTTAGATTATCATGTTATTTCACATCATCCACCAATACAGGTGCCCATACATCTTAAAAACCTAGTTTAAATCTGAATGAATTACAAACCCATAGAAACAGATTTAAAAATAAAATTCTTTGATTTCGATTAAAGGTTAAATAGCAGATTTGTGCTTCTATGCTCTATGTTGCAATCGGTTTGTACAGTAGCGTGGTAACATACTTCTTTCGGTATCTGTGTGTCGCACTCAGAACCATTACACCATCTTTAATTGACAAAGCATATAAATGGTTCAGCATCACATGATTGGGTTCCGGGAGTAGTGTCGGCTCACACTAAAAACACACACACATCAAATCAAATCAAAGAAATATTGGGTTCTTATTTTGTAGGTTATTCAATTACTTACAGATAATGGTGTATCTTTATTGAGAATAACTTGTAACAAATGTGGTGGTAATATAGGTGGCCCTGGTACTTTCTCCCAAGGCTTACTAACAGGAATCTCTTGAGAATACTCTTTCTGTAGATCATTTCCGGAATTCTCACTGTCTTTATCCAAAGCTTGAAACACTTCAAGTCAGACTTCCTCACAGATATCAGATTGTTCTTTTCTCCAATGTCATCTTCTATGACTTTGGTTGCTGCATCATTCTTCCACTCCCCATCAACATAGTACTTGAACTGATGCTCTCCTTCGGGCAGATCTATAATTGTCATAAAGTTGCCATGACTCTTTACCATTGGTATGGTTTTCCATTCAGTGAATGTCCCACAGATAAACACTTCATTTCCGCCGCCCTCCCAGCGGAACATCGTGGGTGTTTTGTTGCTGGTATTTATCTGTGTACCTATATTCAAGCCCATCAATTAATTATACATTATAGAAACATTTTAGCGCACACAACACTTACCTTCAGAAATTGTATTTGCTCTGGGTCTGATAATCTCATGAGGTGGTTCACGTGACGATGGCTTAGTAATTGTTGGTGGCTCCTCGTCGTCCTGTGAGCTCTGGAGGACCAGCTTATGCTCTGGTTTTTGTCGAAGGTAAATGCTTGATTCTCATCTTTAAAAGGTGAAGATGGCACTACCTCGCCATGCTTAGGCCGTTCGCGTTGTCCAGAAGTTCCAGCGTTACCCATGTTTCTCGAATGTCTATTAAATGTAACGCATGAATTTATTCGCGATCTACTTACTGCCCAATTACATTATGTAAATACAATTAGTGTTGCTTTATTCGTTCAGTGTTGACACGAACATCTGAGCTTGATCACAACGCAGTTCATTTGATTCATCAACCAGTGAGGTGACAAACCTGACAGTTTGACCTAAGAAAAATATATTAGATGGCAGCATAAGTATAAACCAGTTATATTAGTTATATGATTGTTGCTAGAAACGTTTCTAAAACCCGAGCAAATACAAAAAATCATATTAAATCAGTTTTTGTGTGTTCGTGTTATTTTACAATTTTGCGCGCCACACTGTTCGAAACACTTAGTACTTTTGTGCGGTACCTACTATATATATCCTCAGATGGCGCGACGATGTAGGTTTAACTCAAAATATTTCAAAGAAAGAATTTTGTTTTGTTGTATCGGTGCGTTAACAACGAGCACACATTCCACACTTTCGGCTTGTGTTATTCTTTGATATAAGTTGGATAAATCGCGTTATAACTCACCTTTTTCGAGCAATGTTTGTATTTTTTCGGTGTTGCACGCGATCTTAGCGTGTCAATAACTTCGGCGTGGCATCAAAAGATACGGAATTAAATTCTTCGTCGGGTTGTATTTATTAGCGGTAGAAGTGACTCGATTCCGGGCACCTTACGAGGCTAGCGGTAAAAGTGACTCGTGTTCAGGGCACCGTACGAACCCGGCGAAAATTTGCATGCTTTTCTTTTGATTTTTTCGTGTTTGCGCGCGATCCAGAAGGCTCACTAACATCAGCGCGGCATTGAGAGATGTAGAATTAAATTCTCCGTCGGGTTGTATTTGTTTCATGCAGGAATTCGACCTGCAGCCCTCGAAAATTTGCATTAAATGGTGATTTACTCACCCTTTTTTGTGCAATGTTTGTATTTTTTCGAGTTTGCACGCGTTTGTAAACTAGGGAGACAATAAAATATTTATGTGTAAAGGAAAATGAAATTCCTGCTTTTCTCAATTTTATGACATCCCAAAGCCAATAATTTCTTTTCTTATGCCGAGAAATATTGAAAGTAAAAGTAGATTTCGTTTATGTCAGTTATTGCAACATTGTGAAATTTTAGTTTGGTCTTTTCAACTACGAGTTTATCAGTACGTTTGTGTATAAACAACTTTTTTTGTTCAAGTAACGCGTATTATCGCTACGTACCAGCCTTGTACCTGGCTATGCGACGCGCACACGGCAGTCGTTTCACCGCGTGGTCCGCGAACGTGTCTTTCTTATCGCCATGTGCTTTGAGGTTTTAATTGGATTAATCGTGGTGTACTTCTTCGACTATCAGCAAAATATTCGCAATGGGCGTGTGTGCATGTTTTGTTTAATGATTAGTGGCGTTTAGAGTCTCCTTAAATAAGAAATATGTGTCCATTAATCTGTGCGTGTGTTTTCAGTTGAGAGAATATATTCCAGGATATAAAATTCCCTCATCAATGTATAGGTAGGTGTGTAAATAATTTTTTTTACGGAAAGTTACGCTGGTTTAACTTAAATTGATTATTCTATTTAAGTGATATGAAATTTGCATGCATTATCTTGCAAATTACAAACACATGGTATGTAGCATTTCTATCAAAATTCTTGGATGATTTAATTAATACAAATACTGTTTAAAAAAGTATCTGAAGATTATTAAAATTGGCAATATTCATATGGTCGACCACGCTCACTTTGCCGTCGGCCGTCGGACGTCGGCTCGGCCATCTTTTCGCTGAACACGTGAATGTTTTTATCGATTTGCACTCCTTAGCATCATTAAATTAAGAAGATTTTACTAGGTTAAATCTTGTACGTTGAATAGTTTTTCGTTTTCATCGTCTCCTACATCTTAATATTTACATAAAATAGTTATTTTTATTCTCTCTAACAACTGTATTGCTACGCGCCTTCGCTTGCCGTCATTTATGATGATGCTTCACCCATCGGTTATTTTATGCAGTTGATGCATCAATTAATAAATATATATTCACAATGTGTTAAAATGTAAGTGTTTTATTTTTGTACCATCTTCTTGTTCAATTTCCAGATAATTTATATGTTTATATTATATGATATGAAGATGTATATATTAGTCTTCCTAACACTACGTAGAAAATCGCTGATATTTGTGAGTTTTGAGTGTTCTTTGTTTCAACTAGAGATTTTCTTTCCGAAACACCCTGTATATTCATTTTTTCTTTATGTCCGTGGAAATTTTGCTTTAATTGTTGCTTTTAGGGTTTTCCTCATTGCTCTTTGAATTTTCTTTTTGTGACACCCTGTATATATTAATTTCCCGGAGCCTCGGGTGAAAAACGAATTATATTTGTAGTGTTAAAATGTTATTCTGTTTTCACATTAAATTTTCCATTTGTAACACCCTGTATATTTGTTTCCATTTTCAATCGCCTAGAAAATTGGCTATTTACTATTTTCATTATCCCGGTAGAACTTTATGAAGTAGGTAGTATTTGCTGGCATGTGCGCGGCTCAGCAGGTCGTAAGTCCTGTTTCAATATGGCGACATGTATTTTGTTGACTTGTAAAATCTAAACTTGTATTCTATTATCAATAAAGAAATAGTAAGATATATTGACTTCCTTGATTTGTGTGTTCCCCTTCTATGATTACAGAGGAACAGTTCCCTCTCTCAGGGGATGATCCCCACTATAAAAATTGTTAAGGTATCTTGTATGATTCGTGTACTCCTTCTCTCATTTCAGGTACAGGTCAGAACTTGTATGAATATTTTTAAGTGTCCCCTCTCTTGAGGCGACTTAAAACTTAGAAATATTTTTATAAGTTCTTGAAAAGATGTCCTTATAAGGAGTTCTCCCACTCGGGGGATGATCCCCCACCATAAAAATTGTTAATATGCCTGATAATTTCGGGGATGAAGCGCAGAGACATCGTAGCTGTAGGATGGGCCGGGAGCAATGGACGGATCGAAGCAGTGGGCGATCTGTGACTGTCTTATAACGACACGTGCCAAAAAATTTAAAAATCTGATCCGCTCCTGTTGCTCTTTCTTCTATCTCCCTACTCTTCTCTACTCTGTTCTCTTCCTTCTGTCTGCTACTCTTTTCTGCTATTTCTTCTTCTTCTACTTCTCCTATTTCTTCTGTTCTCCGTTTTTCTCCACTTGCTTGCTCTTTCTTATTTCTCATATTGCCTTCACTTATATTTCAACTTCTCATATATTTCGTTGCAATTCATATATGCAACCCAAATTACACCTGATATTTTTATATTTGAGAAAAATGCCTTCCATTCCTGAGATTCGATCCGTGTCTGCTAGCATGCCAGCAGGTGCACGTCTCCACTCGACCACCGAGTGTTTTTATTATTGTTATTTGATTCTTCGATTTATGTTTCTACTTTAATCAACTTTTTAAAAACAACAACATAAGTATCAGATATGTTGCACTCGCTCCACGCGTATAATATCTATATTGAATGTGTGAAACGCTCATATACTGAAAAAGGCAAGGAGGATACCAAAAACAAATATGAATGAAATGTTAATTTATATTAATTTTATTTTATTGACAACATTTACAAATACAAACATTTTTTATATAGAAAAATATTGACAATTATTAAATGCCGCGGAAGACTTGCCTTAAAATATGCGCACATTTGCAACTCTTCTGCGATGAATACTTATTCGAATTAAACATAAATCCAAGTTATTCTGGGTGATAACCGACAGCCGACGGACACGCACGCCGAGCGCATGCAGGCCAACACGAGTGAAGTATAATCTACACGCGAAAAATAATCCCCGACGACCGACAGTAGTTCACTCGTGCTTATTATCAGCCGAAATTCCGTTCACGCGTAATTCTAATACATGTCGTCGATTGCTTATTGAATATAAATTGATTTACGATCAATTTATAATAGGGAGAAATAAAACTTGTCGCGATGAATACACTTGCTCCGCTCGGCAACCGGAATGTAACTGCGCGCTCTGAAACGACCACGCGGTCATGCAGTGTTGCTATTGCGATAGGCTCAACAAAAAATTGTTTACATGCAAATATTCGTATATCAAAATTATACCTGGATAACAGTTTAATATTATTACAACTAACTCACTAGGTAGTATTTCTACGGCGCTCCCAACTACAGCTAATTAATTGCAAGATGTAGACCATTTTCTGAAACAAATAAAATTAAAAAAAAAAACAATACAGTTTACTATTACTGCGACTAACGGACAACAATTCATATTTATATAGATATTACATGTTGGTATTATTTCAACCGACGATAATCCGGGGGCCATCTTCAACACTCGCCCACCATGTGTAGCGTCATATAAATTATTCATACAATAAACAAAAAAAAACCCGAAGGAGAATTTAATTCCGCATCACTAGATGCCACGCTGAAGTTTTTGACCCACCAAAGTCGTGTGAAAACCCGAAAAAATACAAATATTTAACGTAAAACGGTGAAAAAATCATCATTTTATTCAAATTTTCGTGGGTTGCAGATGGAATTCCTGCAATAAATAAGAACAGCCCGACGGAAAATTTAATTCCGCATCTCTTGATGCCACTCAGATGTTTCTGAGCCGCCAAAGTCGCGTGCAAACCAGAAAAATACAAATATTTCACGAAAAGAAATGACAAAAATCACGCTTTATGCAAATTTTCGCGGGTTGCAGGTCGAATTTCTGCAACAAACAAATACAACCCAACGGAGAATTTAATTCTGCATCTCTAGATGCCGCGCTGAAGTTAGTGAGCCGTCTGGATCGCGCGCAAACACGATAAATTACAAATATTTTACGCCCTTAACACGAGTCACTTCTACCGCTGCTCGCTGCCCTTGTACGGTGCCTTGAACACGAGTCACTTCTACCGCTACCCTCATACTGTGCTGTGAACACGTATCACTTCTACCGCTACCTTCGTACGGTGCCCTGAACACGAGTCCCTTCTACCGCTGCTCGCTGCCCTTGTACGGTGCCTTGAACACGAGTCATTTCTTCCGCTACCCTCATACTGTGCTGTAAACACGAGTCACTTCTATCGCCAACCTGCTATTATACACCGAATGAGACTCTACTAAATCAACAACAAAATTAACGTTTTTGACATATTCAAGTCAATAAACTTTAATAGTGAATATTTTTTAAACTAAAAGCGATAGCGATCAACGGATTGAAGAATATGAAAGTTCTTCAATTTTTAACAATTTTTTTCAATTGCGAATATCTCATAAACTAAAAGAGATAGACCAGATCGGATTTCTCATTCCTAATCTAATCTAATTAATCTAAATTAGTTTGGAAAATTCACAATAGGATAAAACAAGATAATAATTAAAGTTCGGAGTGTACAGGTTGTGAAATCGTGTTTAAAAGTGCGCAGAATATGAAGAAAATTTGAATATTTTCGCGGGCTATTGCAACACGCAGGTGAAATGTGATAAAACATTTAACCGAATAATATAACTTAATTATAAACTTACCAATGCAGCGCTCTTCGGATTGCAAGGGTACGGCAAGTACTGTAATTAAAAGAAACATAAATTAAAACAAAAACAATTCATAGAATATGATAATATTATATTCATACATGGGAGCAAAAACTTTCTGTGCAGAGTATCGCAATAGTCAGATAAAAATAACTTACTCAAACACGAATATGTTTCCAGTTGATCTAGCGACCGACCACGTCACACAATAATCGACAATAAAACTGCAACATTGTAATTTAAAATATAAACATCAAAAGTAAGCAAAAACAAAAACATTTATGCACATTAAACGCCCAATTAAATTAAACTGGCTGCAATCCCACGATAGCGTTTAACGAAACTGCACAAGCAACGATGCGACACTTTACAAGAATCTGAAGATGCTGCGCGAACCTCGCAGATAAATGCAGCAGGTAGATGCGCAAAGCCAACGCGTCGATGCCACGCGACCTTGTCCGTGAATTGCAATAGATGCGCAAAGCCGGCGGCGCGTGGATAGCACGCGACCTTGTGCACGAATTTCAATTGACAGGGTATAAACGTTATGTTTTTAACTGATTTGTTGAATATTATATTGCTTTTTCTACTTCCAGCTATAGAACGCCAGTTTAACCACGGCATATAGACCCAAAACGTGGTACTTTAAATACGGACGGCCAAGCCGAAGCATCCGCCTGCGTATTTGCCTACGCAGCAGCACAAGGCGCTGCACGATATGAACCGAAGCGTCACATGGGCCAGCGCGCGGCATGGCACTTATAAACTTTACAGTTTAAGTGTGTGAGCAAATTTCGATGATTTAAAGTACAAAAGTTGAAATACAAAAACCGTAATGTGGAACTAGAGTGGAAGTAGAGAGAATAGCGTAAGCACCTCGTGGCTAAACGTTGTTAAAGTAATGCCATCGTTCATTGTTGTTTTTGTTATATTTTTACTGAATTGTTTGTGTTTTGTAAACAAAAGTTAAATATTCGCTTGGATATCGGTTTAGTAGTTTGCATGTTGTGTTTGGATTGAATTTATACTACTTTTAGACATTGTAGCATGAATATAATATGAATATAATAAAGGTGCAAATGTCACAAGAAAATGAAAAACATTGAAATTCTATTGATTTTTGCGATTTTTTCACCTTTCTTACAGAACATCTTTAAAATATTAAAAGAATTGTAACTTTTTGTATTGAATTGATTAATAGATGCTTACTCATTGTTTTTTCTTATATTTTAACTGAAAGGCTTGTGTTTTATAAACAAAACTTAAATATTTGCTTGGATATCGTTTCAGTTGTTTGTATGTTGTGTTTGGATTGAATTTATACTAATTATATACATTGTAGCATGAATGTTTCCTTGTTTAACTGAATAAATGCAAAGTATTCATTAATTTTCTGTGTTTCTCAATTTCTTTCTTGATGATTTCTATCAATTTCAGTTTACTAGGTAATATAAGGTGTAAATCTAAGTTTTAAGTCAGTTTATACCTGTTTCAGCCGCTCACCCTCCTTTTATGACCATAAGGGTCTAATATTAGGGTGAGTTACAACTTATGGCACGCCTTCTACTCCCCTTGTTTATATGTACTTAGTTATGTAGTTGTGTAGCAGTACAATGGCTTTGTGCTTGCATTCAACCAATGAAGACACTTGAACAAGCTGGATTATAGATAATAAGATCCGTCCTTTATACCTACGTAACTCACTATTTTCGAAAGTACAAACAGACTAAAATGGATGCTATGATCACCTTTTATAAGGTTTTATAAGGTGTATTATGATAGTTGTCTAAGCATAACACTTTTTACAGGTATACAGTGATGAATTCACACTTTTTGTGTCATGTTTCTTGTTTTGCTTATAATTTGTTTAATTTTGATCCAATCTGAACAAATTTCATATCAAACAGAAAGAAAAGAACTTGGCTTTAGATTTTGTTTCTCTAAGCCCTTTTATTTAAAGCTTCTGGTGAATGAAAGCTTTCATTTTAGGTAAATGTTTATTTGATGAGAGGTGTTGACAAATTTTGGCACAACTGATTCTGTTTCTTGTTTTGTCCATAACTTTGTTGATGTATCATCCAAATTAAACAAATTTCGCATGTCAAATGAAAGCTAGTAAACAATCTTGAAAACTTTGTTGTCATAAACTCATATAATCATTCCTCCTGTTCGGAGGCTTTGATTCACTTGCTAATTCTGCTGTGGTTCATAATAACTTCAAGTTAACTTCAAGCACCACCTCATTTTAAGCAAAAGCATCACTCATCTCACTTATAAAACATGTCTGTAGCTGTAATCGGACCTGCTGATTAACTTTCTGCAATCAGAATTCAGGTAACTTCTCAATCAAAGTTATCACCAGAATATGTAACATCTCTAACCACAGTCTAATCAATTAACCAATACCTAATTTTCTGCAAAACAAATATAATTAATTAAAAATCATTCAAAATACTACATCTTCACCAGAAGTACCTGAATACAGTCTAACAAGTTTGCAGTAGTGGGGTGTAGAATTTCTCTCTCCTTGCATTGTTATCTTCAATAGGAACACCAACTGGTTTGCTTGATGGATTCAGTTGGACTTCAACTTACACAAACCAAAAGATAAGAACACCAGCATGTAAATCATGTTTATTATTAACAATATCACATTGTCAAGGAACACAAGAAGACTTACTTTGTGCAACAGATTTACACTAATAGAATATATAATTTTTTGTTTTAGTTTTTTCCTTTTGTTCATAACTTTGTTAATTTTATCAAATTAAACAAATTTCATATCAAATGAAAGCTAATTCGGCAGTCTTGAAGCTTTGTTGTCATAAACTCATATATTCTTGCTTTCACAATTTTTGATTTACTTGCTAACCTGCTGTGATTCTTGCTCTGCAAGTTACCTTCAAGCTGCTCAGTTTAAGCAAAAATATCCACTCATCTCACTTATAAAACATGTCTATAGCTGTAATCGGACCTGCTGATTTACTATCTGCAATCAGAATTCCAAAATTCCTTCTAATTCCAAAGTTATCACCAAGAATATGTAACATCTCTAATCTGACCTAACCAATTAACCCATTCACAAATTTTCTGCAAAAACAAATAAAATTAATTAAAATCACTCAAATACTACATCTACAGAATTACCTAGTCTTGTCTAACAAGTTGCAACAGTCAAATTGTAAATTTCTCTCTCCTTGCATTGTTATCACCCCAATAAAAGAACACCAACTTGTTTGCTTGACCAGGTAGTTGGACTTCCAACACACAAACCAAAGATAACAACCTGTAGCATGTAAAATCCTGTTTATTATAAACAATAACACATTGTCAAAAGGAACACAAAAGTTTTATTTCAGTAATATACAGATTTGCACATAATAAATATGCATTTAATTTGGAGATTTAAATTGATACACAATGTAAACACTGTAGAAAAAGTATGAAATTGTTTTATACTCTAATCCATTGCAGGGGAAACCTTCACTATCTATTCCTAATCCATCCTAGAACATTTTTCAGGTGAAATTACATCCAACAGAACAGGAAAACTGAAATATAAATGCGGACAACCTTTCATTCGATGTGAACCTGAACATGACTGAACGAGCTTGTCTTATACACCATAAAATCTAACAAATACACTGAGCATAGCCAATGTTATAAACAATAAATCCAGTTGTGTTTGGCTTGCCAACATTTGAAAATAAAGTTCAGGGGCCTCAAACAGGTGGTTGATGGGAGGTTTTGTTTCGTGGTGATCACAGCATCCACAAAACGTATCCACAACTCAAAAGTTATCCAAAATCTATAGTTTATAAGCTGGCTTGTCGGTGCCGCAGGTGGGATTGCGTTTTATTCAGCGGGAAAGACGTAATTTTCCCTGCAAACTCAATGTTTACACTTGATATTTACAAACGCGTAAAACTATTGGTAAAGCGATGTTCAGAGTGATAACGGTTTCTGGGGTGTAATCGGACCCGAGACACGATGCCGTGGTCAGATTTTGTAGTTTTTAATGTGCGGTTGAAGAGAAATTCACAAAAGTATCACTTGACAGCATGTGCTTTTTCGGTTGACGACGTGACAGACTAGGGTTTTGTTGAATTACTCCCAAGCCTCACTAAACGACTCGTGTTAGGCACCGTTGAAAAGAGCGCGTTAATCGTAACACTTTGATACCACTCACGATGCATTTCGTTAATTTTTCTCTAATTGGATTTGTGCTCATAAAAGGTATGTAATTTTGAGGCTATTTTAAAAAATTAGTGTGGCTGATTTACAGGGTTAATTAAGGGAAAAAAGGATATGATAATTCATAGTTTAATTTCTAGAATGTTTTCTGTAAAGTTAGAATGATTAGGAAACGATCTAAATCAAATTTTTTAAAAACGGTTTTGAGAAATTTTACCCCCACCTCGACTCCACCTCGGAATCTATAAATTATGAGAGCGCCCGACAGCCATGTTTCATTCAGATTTTGAGATTCGTTGGGTGCGTGTCGTTAATTTGTCCTTATTTTAACGCTGCTGGCGTGTTTTGTGAACTTAAAGTAGAGTCTTTGCGCAAGCTTGCTTTTTGACAAGATGTCAAATGTCATAGAGTTAAAAAGGAGCCATCTTGACTGCTAACTTATACCTACAAGTGAACTTGCTTGAAGTAACTGTGTGCATTGAAATCAATTGGTAAGCACAAACAATTTAAATATTTAATAATAACTATTCATGCAATAATACAGGACCATAATTAATTATTTTCTTTGAAATGTTTTAGAATACTTCTGCACAGTAACAACCGACCAGCACTAGGCAAAGCAACATCTCAATCCAAATATCAACAAATAACTCATTTTAACATTCGGTGTACACTGGAATCAATCGGTAAGCATTAGAAATATATTAAGATAATTAAATTTAATTATAATTTTAAATTAAAATCATCTGTAATTATCTCTATTTAAAACTATGGTATGCAAATAACTAATATTTTTATTTATTTCAGGTTCACATCTTCATCTCTTCAATCTACAATACCTATACACTACACACACTCACATTACACTTCTGCTCTTTTACCTTTCCTTTCTTTTTCCGTGCCCCGTTCATGATCATTGACGGGGCCGGGTGTCATTATACTTGCTACGGCTTCGGCCCACTGCTTAAGCAAGAGCTTACCTGTCCTTTATCACCTACACATTTTAACACAACTACACCAGCACATTTTTCGCATCATCATAAATAACGCTAAATTAAAAACCATACAACATTGGGGCGGCAATGATAAGAACCAGATAAAATGAAGGAGCCGTATAAGTATTTGAATTAGATTTCATTTTCTGGGAAGCTTATGTGCAAGCAGTCAACTTCAAATTGCATCATTTATGATAAGACACAGAAAACCAAGCAGATGGAGAATTTTTCCCAAGAATGTATGAAGATTAAGAAAATGAAAAATATTGCCCCACCGAATTATTCCGAAATTAAAAAGTCGAAGATATAATGGGTCCTGAACCAAAGAATCAACTTACCGATTGATAATAATCACAGTTTGCTGCAGAATACATCATTCTGGTCATTCAACTTAATCTGTAAGTATAAACAATCAAATAAATTAATAATAATTCATCAAATCTTAAAAAAACTATAAAATTCTCAAAATTAATTATGGTACATGGGACAGGTTCTTATCAAAAAAAAATAGCCGATCACGGAACAATAAATCATTTCAATCTAATATTTAAACGAGGACACAACAGCAAAGGTAAATATTTAAGTTTTAAATTAAAATTTAAAATTTAAATTAACTCAATTTAATCATATGGTATGTAAATAACTAATATTTTCATTTGCTTCAGGTTTTCGTCACTTCTTCATATCTTCACATCTTCATCTCTTCAATCAGGGCCAACCAATCAATCCAAAAGGACCTAGTCAATCCAAATCTACGATGAGAGGACATTCCAATACAAGATGGTCTTGAGTCCAGAGAGAGAGTCAATCTCGCCCGACGCTGGACTTCTAAATACTGACGCATCCTCCTGCGAGATGTGGCTGTTATAGAGACGGATTAAGGTAAAGGTAATTGGTGATGCCCATGATCAGAAGTCTGGCGCACACATGTCATCTTGTATCTGGGGGTGGCATGTCAAGCCAGTGCTTGGTCATTCGGCTAATCCACCCAGCATTGCTAGAAACGCCGGATGTACATAAGTAGTAGGTAATTTTATGAACTATCGCATGTATCCGGGTCGCGTTATCAGTATCAGTTCAAATCTATAAATAGTCATTCTTTCAAGTTTAACGCGGCTAATTTATCCGCAATTCTTACTTCATCCGCAAATGTAATATTTCGGCAATTAATATTATCGTAAATCGGAAGACTTTTTAAAATCGAAATAAAAATCCGCGATTTGCTTTTTATTTGGTTAATTTGGGCGGTGTAGTATTACCGTATTGCAAACATTGCACCGCGTTTTAGTTTCAATTAAGTGTTATCGCGGAACACTTTTAGTATTATATTCGGTAAAATCCAGCGGTCTACGCACACACTACACACACACACACACACACACACACACTATAAACACTCACAATACACTTTGCTCGGTTCGTTTCGGCGAATGCGGAGTTTTGGGTTTTGGTGTCTGAGCACACCATTACCTTACATTCTCAACACAACGCACACGTTCTGTTCGGAACACCACAAATTAACTGTGCATCTATGCATCGCGCGGCATTTTTGGAAGCAGAGATTTTGCAATCTGCTTTGCAATGCGTATGAATGGCATGCCTGTTGGATAATTGTTTTATATTTTTGGTATGATTGTGATGCACTGTATTGTATTTCATTTCATTTTGTATGTCGTGTTAAGTTTTGAGGCAACCGAAGCCGGCTGCTGCCATGGGATGTGGCAGTCGGTCACTTTGTTTCGTTGCGAAATGGAACGTCCGGCACAGATCAACAAACGCGTCGGTGTTGGGTACTTTTTGGCCTCGTGGTCTGTGCTCCTGGCTATCTGTATGTACTTGGTGGGGACCAAAGCGGGTCTTAATAAAATAGTTTTAAGTCTCCTACTCCTCTTAGATGTGTGAATGATAAATTGTTTTAGATATTTGTGTACTAATCTTTTTCCGCTTTCAGGATAATCGCGATTTAGCTATTGGTTGACATTAGGCAGGGTTTTAGGTCCTTCCTTATCCTTCATAATGTCTTTTTCTTACAGCAATTTGTGTATTTTTTATATGTTTTATTGATATTTGTGTTATTATTTATTATGTATTTGTATTGCGAGTGTGAATGAGTTCCAAAAATCCAAAAAATCCTTACTAATGAATTATGTTTTTCTTTCAGCAACTAATTAAATATTTCTTCTATGTTTTCAGGGCGTCTTGTTTGAATTGATAATTAATCTTTTAATTTATGTTGCAGGGTCCAGGATGCTCGGCAATCATTGATGTGTTCTGTGTTGTTTTGTGTTTTATTCTTGAACTTTACTAATCACAAGTTTGTTCTGCTTGTTTGTTTCTACAGATTAATGGAAGTCCTTATGAATTTTATGAAAAGTAATAATCCAATAATATATTCTTGGTCTGTGCATACATTTTATATATTTTATAGAGTTGTATTCAGTTACTTTATTTTTATTTTTTAAAATTTATTTATTAATTCCACGAAATTGTACTCTTAATCAGTATGCACAGATTTAAAATGGGTTAGAGAGAAATGAACGCACATTGAATACTTGATTGTAATGTGGAGGCAATAATTTAAAAAAGATGAAGATCTTCATGACGGATGTTTGATGGAATGGTATGTTTAGTAGATTTTATTTAATATACTGATGAATAATTAATTTGTTTTGCAGGTATTTTATTTTATTGATATTTATCCAAATCAAAGCTGGAATGGTTAATTATTATGTAATTCTCATCATTATGATCACAATTTGAAGAGATGGTATGTTTATTTGATCTTATCGCGTGATAAGCGAGTATATTAAGTGTTATTTGATGATTTATTTTATTTTGTAGGTTTTTGAATGGTTTCGGAATTCATTGAAGTCCTGGAAATTAATTTAACAAAAACAATACTGGAAGAATTTAATTATTGGATAATCCTCATCATTATTATTGACAAATTATACAATGGTATGTATTTTCTTAACTTTTTATATCTACAACCTACGTTTAATTTAATTCTCAATTGATTTGTGTTCACAGGAAAATGACAACATTGTATAATTTACTTCTACAAACAATCGGCCAGGGTCCGATGTGTTTACCCATAAACAAATGGGGAGCCCTTAAGGGTGAGTATTATTATATTAAATTAAAAAAAAACTATTTATTTAATTGGAATTTTTATTAACGTAACAAAAAACTTAATTATTTATATAGAAGTTGAATACATCATTTTTTCTCAACGCCGAGGTTTCTACTCTCTAGTTGAGGGGGGTATCAACATACACACAAATCCGAAATATTGGACACAAAATTGGTAAGCACAAACAATTAAATTATTTAATAATAATAACTATTCATGTAATAGTACAGGACCGTAATTAATTACTTTTTTTGAATTTTTTAGAATGGTACTGCACTGTAATAACCTGCAAGCACTAAACAACACAACATCTCAATCCAAATATCAACAAATTACTTATTTCAACAAGTGGTGTACACTGGAATCAATCGGTAAGCATTAGAAATATATTAATATAATTAAATTTAATTATAATTTTAAATTAAAATCATCTGTAATTATCTCTATTTACTTAAATCTATGGTATGTAAATAATTAATATTTTTATTTATTTCAGGTTCTTCACTTCTTCACATCTTCATCTCTTCAATCTACGATACACTATACACTACACACACTCACATTACACTTCTGCTCTTTTACCTTTTTCCTTTCTTTTTCCGTGCCCCGTTCATGATCATTGACGGGGCCGGGTATTGTTATGCTTGCTACGGCTTCGGCCCTGCTTAAGCAGAGCTTACCTGTCCTTTTTCACACCTACACATTTTTAACACAACTACACCAACACATTTTTCACATCATCATAAATAACATAAATTAAAACCATACAACATTGGGGCAGCACTGATAAGAACCGAATATAATGAAGAATGATACTCAAATATTGAATTAGACTTCATTTTCTGGGGAAAACATGTGCAAGCAGTCAACTTCAAATTGCATCATTTATAATAAGACACGAAGAAACCAAACAGATGGAGAATTTTCCCAAAAATGTATGAAGATTAAGAAAATGAAAAATATTGCCCCCCGAATTATTCCAAAATTACGAGAAGTCGAAGATATAATGGATCCTGAACCAAAGAATCAACTTACTGATTGATAAAAATCACAGTTTGCTGCAGAATACATCATCTCACATCAAATATTGACCAGTAAAAGTAACCAGAATAAAGGGTGGTCAATCAACTTAATCTGTAAGTATAAACAATCAAATAAATTAATAATAACTCATTAAATTATAAAATTATAAATACTTAAAATTAATTACTTTCTTTTATCTGTTTTAGATACTTATCAACAAAAATAACCACTAATCACGAAACAATAAATAATCTCAATTTAATATTTTTAAAGGAGGTCACAACAGCAATGGTAAATATTTAAGTTTTAAATTAGAATCAACTTTATTTATCTCAATTTAATTCTATGGTAGGTGAATAACTGATATTTTTAATTGTTTTAGATTTAGAATGCTTCTCGACTGTAATAACCTGCAAGCACTAAACAACGCAACATCTCAATTCAAATATCAACTAATAACTTATTTTAACAAGTGGTGTAAACTGGGATCACTGGTAAGTATTGGAAATATTTTAGAATAATTAAAAAATAACTTGTCAAGAAATAAAAGACAGCATAATTAATATTTTTTAAATTTGTCTTTAGAATATTTTGTGATTAATAATAATCACAGTTTACTGCAGAATACATCATCTCACAACAAATATGTACCAGTAAAAGTAACCAAAATAAATGGTGGTCAATCAACTTAACCTGTAAGTATAAACAATTAAATAAATTAATAACTCATCGAATAAAACGACTAAAATTGATAAATTTTGTCTGTTTAAGATACTTATCAACAAAAATAACTGACTCAATCATGGAACAATAAATCATTCCAATCTAATATTTAAAGGAAGACACGACAGCAAAAGCGTAATATTAGAGTTTTAAATAAAAAATCATCTTTAATTGATTTTATATTATACAAATAACTAATATTTTTATTTGTTTCAGGTTTTCGTCACTTTGAACACATCTTCATCCCATCGCTAGAGGACAAATCCAATCCAAACGGACCCTGAAATAACTAAATCTATGATGAGAGGACAGGGCACCCCACAGGATGGTCTTGAGTCAAGAGAGCGGGCCAATCTCGCCCGACGCTGGACTTCTAAATACAACGCATCCTCCCTGCGAGATGTGAGCAGTTATCTCGAGGAGCGGATTAAGGTAGGTAGGTGATGCCTTATGATCAGAAGGCTGGCGCAATACATGTCTCTGTATCTGGGGTGGCATAAACCAGTACTTGGTCATTCGGCTAATCCACCAGCATTGCTAGAAACGCCGGATGCAAAAGTAGTGAGTAATTTTATGAACTATTATCGCATGTATCCGGTCGCGATTCAATTAATATCAGTTCAAATCTATAAATAGTCATTTTCAAGTTTAACGCGAAAACTTAGTTCATCCGCGAATCATAATATTTCAACGTAATTATTATTATCGTCTTAATCGAAGACTGTTTGAGCAATCCGAAATAAAAAAGCCGCGATTTGCTTTTATTTAATTTGAATTTGAACTGATTGTAGTATTACCTTATTACCGTATTACCGCGAACATTGCACCGCGTTTTTAAGTTTCACTATGTTATCGCGAACACTTAAATATTACGTTCGAGTAAAATCAACCGGTCACACACACACACACACACACACACTATAAAACACCACAGTACACTTTGCTCGGTTCGTTTCGGCGAATGCAGAGTTCTTGGGTATTTGGTGTCTAGGCACACCTATATTACCTTACATTCAACACAACACTTACACGTTCTTGCTCACAGAACAACACAAATTAACACAATTTAATTCAATGCATCGCGCGGCATTTAGAAGCAGAGATTTGCAATCTGGGTTTGCAATATAAGTATGAATGCACGCCTGCTGAAATGAATCTATTGATTTTTGGTATGATTGTGTTGCACTGTATTGTATTTCATTTCCATTTGTGTATGTCGTGTTAAATTTTGGGCAACCAAAGCCGTTGCTGCTGCCGCTGATGTGGCAGTTTGGTCACTTTTTGCTTTCGTTAAAACTGTTTTGTACCTGACAGATCGCCAAACGCGTCGGTGTTAGGCGGGCACTTTTATTATAATCGGTCTGTGCCTGGCCAAAGCTATCTCCCATGTACTTAGGTAGGGACCAAAGGCAGGTTTTATTAAAATAGTTTAAGTCTCCTACTCCTCTTAGATGTGTGAATGATAAATTGTTTTAGATATTTGTGTACTAATCTTTTTTCCGCTTTCAGGACAATCGCGATTAGTTATTGGCTGACATTAGGCTACCCTGTTCATGATCATTGTCAGGGTTCTTGGGTAGTGGTGTGCTTAGGCACATCTTACCTTACATTTTTAACACAAAAACACCTACATATCACATTTTCAACGTATCAACTTTTGTGATGTGATGTGCATTATTAATAGTGCGGGAGTGTTTTTTATATAGTGCGCGAGTGTTGAATTATAGTGCGGGAGTGAAAATCAAATTTCATCAGTTTTTACACTTACATACACACACATACACTTACACTTTCTACCCTGTTCATGATCATTGTCAGGGTTCTTGGGTAGTGGTGTGCTTCGGCACATCTTACCTTACATTTTTAACACAAAAACACCTACATATCACATTTTCAACGTATCAACTTTTGTGATGTGATGTGCATTATTAATAGTGCGGGAGTGTTTTTTATATAGTGCGCGAGTGTTGAATTATAGTGCGGGAGTGAAAATCAAATTTCATCAGTTTTTACACTTACATACACACACATACACTTACACTTTCTACCCTGTTCATGATCATTGTCAGGGTTCTTGGGTAGTGGTGTGCTTTGGCACATCTTACCTTACATTTTTAACACAAAAACACCTACATATTTTTCACATCATCGTAAATAACATAAATTGATACCAAACAACATTGGGTCAGCAACAATAGGAACCGAATAAAATGAAGAATGATACTCAAAGATTGTATTAGATTTTATTTTCTGGAGAAAACATTTGTAAGCAGCCAACTTCAAATAGCATCATTTATAATAAGACCAAGAAGAAAGATAATTTTACCAAAGATGTATGAAGATATAGCATTAAGAAAATGAAAAATATTTGCGAATCAAATTGTTCCGAACGAGAGACGAGAAATTACACGAAGTCAAAGATAAAATGGATCCTGAATTAACAGAAGACTAAATATCAAGTTAGATACAACCAGAGAAATGGAAAAAATGAATCAAATTGGAAGTTAGAATTGGATATGAATAACAACTATGATAAATAATTGTGTTTATGTGTTTATATAGTGCGCGAGTGTGTTTATATAGTGTTTTAAAATATTTATTATAATCAACAATTATTTAGAAGTACAGAAGAAAGAAGACAAAACCCCAGAAGAAGGAACTTATCAAGAAAAATATCAACCTCAACTGAAAATAAATGGAATTGGATACATCTCAGAAAGAGAAATGAAATAAAAATGGAAATGGTTAAATGCTGATATCAACTTATAGTGAAGTGTTGTGAATTATTAATAGTGCACGAGTGTTGAAGTACGAGTATATTGTGCGAGCCGTTATACAAGTGTTAGTGCGAGTGCGGGAGTGTCGTGAAATATTCAAAAATTTCTTTACAGATCAACAGTTTGCACGATTGCACGAAAAGTCACTGTTTGAAATAGGCATGTTGCACGTTCTTATGTCTCACTTTTGAATGCAAAACAAGAAGATCCTTCCATCTTGAGGCCAAGGAGAGATGAGGCGTTCTACTAAAATAAGGCACATTTCAAAGAAGTTGAGGTGAATAACATTACCATGTCAGAATAATACTTATTCTAATATTTTCTATGCTAACAGAAGAAGAAAAAGAAGATGGTCCATCCATCCCCGCCGAGGTCAGTCCTGAGAGGTATGCACCAGATTCAGCCATCTTTCCAACCGGAAGAACTCTTGAGGGTCAGGGTCCGATGTGTATACCCATCAAGGAATGGGCTGCTGCTCTTGGGGGTATGTAAAGTTGGAAAGAAATTGTGGTGAGTATTATTTCAATCATTTTGTAATTACTAAACAATTATTACTTATTAATAATTGAATAATAATTACTTATGTTATTAATGTTAACCTGAATCTAGCTGAAGAAGAAGGAGAGGCCGATGATGTGCAGTTCCATCCACGCAGAGGTAGATCATGAAGGATGACCTGATGTGATGTATCCAGTTTTCCAGCGAGAAAAAGCCTTTGGGGGTCAGGGTCCGATGTGTACACCCATCAAGGAATGGGCTGCTGCCCTTAAGGGTTTGCACAACCGCAAAAATGCTGTGGTGAGTATTATTATCATCAAAATCAACTCAAAATATTATTTAAATTTTTAATAAGTTAACAAAACACTTATATAATTATTTATTTTCATTTTAGAAAGTAATATTTTAATTGAAAATGTTTACAAAGTACTAACACTAATTAATACCATATGTTTGTTCACAGTTCGTAGTGTAGTGTAGTAGTAGAAAGCACGTAGTCGTAGTAGTAGCAAGTAGTAATAGTTGTAGTTATAGACTAGTAGTAGAGTAGTGGACTGTGAAATGACCATTTGAAATGCTAACAAATTCTACACAATTTACAAATGATTAAAGAAGCTTCATAATAAAAAGATCCCAATGGAAATTGTCAAGCAAATCGTTAATCGAAGGAGGTTTCCAAGCAACTTGGCAGTTACATAGTTTAGTATTTTGCTTTTCATTAAAATATAATGTTTTGGTTTCATGTTTTATTTTATTGTTCAATAATCAAAATATTAGTCAATTTAACAAGTGCACTTCAAACATATCATTTGTCAATTTGTTAAGTACACGAAAAAATTTCTCGAAATTATTAAATTATTGTTTCCTTGATACACTAAATATGAATGTATTAATTTTTTTGGAATTTTTTTATATTAAACTAGTTCACAGATTTAAATTTGTTATTTACCACAGCCAGCTCTTCAGCATTCACATTTCTTTTTAGGTTTGAATATGCGTCTTGATGAAACGCCCATAAGTGGATTATATTCTAAAAAGATTATTTAAGATAAGAACATAACATAATACATGAACTTTCAATTAATATTCCTGATTTTTCTAGATTACTTCCACCTCTTTTACCATCATGTCTTGCAAGACATTCCTCATGCTTTTTAGCTCTTTTCTACATGTTATCATTGGAAATTTTAATAAATTTTTAATTTAATGGGAAGTATATTATATGAATGATTGTCGAAAATGTACTAACCTCTTTTTGTTTTAGGACATATCGTTCGGCGTCGGTATTGTACTGTTCTTGTTCTTCAGTGCTTCTTCCCTGCCAACTCTTAGACTTGACAATTTGTTCAATTTCTGCAGGAAAAATGATGAACAATTATTAACAAACTGTACAATACTTTAAAGGTAAAAAACGTACCTTTGTAGACATTCTATTCTTACTCATATCTATCCCTTTTCTTTTCATATTCTTTGATATGGACTTATTCTGCTGTAGATATAGGCAGATACCATCCGTAATTCTCAAAGAAGAAAACAACTGCAAAAAAAAGATAAGTGATAAGTACAGGTGCTTACTATGTAATTTAATTCTAATTTATTATTTATTTGTTTTAGTTTAGTTCTGGTGCAAAAGTTGATACTCATTATAATTAATTGGATTTTGTGAGACTTCTTCCTCTTCAGCTATGATTTCTTCATATTCCGCTGACATTATGTATATTAATTACTATGTGAGATAACATGTAAAAATGCTGTTTCATTTGTATAATTTAACAAAACTTCATCAATATTTATATTCTTCATTGGTAGCTGTCAGATTGGTTTGTTTTCGTCATGATGTGGCTTTATCCAAAGTGGAAAATATTGCAAAGAATTTCAACCATTATTTGAACATTTGAAATTCAAAACGAGAAAAACCAAAAAAAGACAATGAAAATACTTTTAAGATAATTGAATATATACAATATTATAAAGAGTAAAGGTTTACATATTTAATAGGTTTTCAATCTTTCATAATCAGCAATTCATTGGTTGCTACTGCCTTTAGTTTAAGAGATATTAATTTTTAAAAATAGTCGAAAAAAAGTATCAAGCACCCCGGGCAATTTTTTTCTTAAGAATTAAAATTTCATCTCACAGATTTCCGTTTTAACTATCCTATCTTATCGAGAATAGTCCGCAGATTAAGACGCTGCGATCAGATCTTAAATAGCTCTTTTTAGTTTTACGAGATATTCGCGTTTGGCCTGTACGGCAAAATTGAGAAATGTCAGTTTTAAAGCACTTTTAGTCGCGATTTTCGACCTTTACCGTAGGAAATTTATAGTTTAAGAGATATTAATTATCAAAAATCGTCGAAAAGTATCAAGCACCCCTCAAGTACCCTTTTTTCTTAAGAATGAAAAATTTCATCTCTCTCAGATTTCCTTAACTATCGTATCTGATAGAGATTGGTCCGTACATTAAGACGCTGCGATCAGATCTTAATTATCTCTTTTAGTTTACGTGAGATATTCGCGTTTGAATAAAATGGGCAAAAAATTGAAAATGTCACTTTTAGCACTTTTATCGCGATTTACCACCTTTTACTATAGGAATATAAATGCTTTAAATTTTTATCTGATGGAGAATTTTCCAGTCTCTTCATAATCAGCAATTTTATTGGTTGCTGTATTTTTAGTTTAAGAGATATGAATTAAAATCGTCGAAAAAAATTATCAAGCACCCCTGGCCTTTTTTCTTAAGAATGAAAAATTTCATCTCTCAGATTTCCCTTTAACTATCGTATCTGATAGAGATTGGTCCGTACATTAAGACGCTGCGATCAGATCTTAATTATCTCTTTAGTCATGGTGATATCTGCGTTTGAATAAAATGGGCAAAATTGAAAATGTCACTTTTAGCACTTTTGGTCGCGATTTTCCACCTTTACTGTGGTGGAAATATACCATATTTTATATTTTTATTCGATACATACTTTTCCAATCTATCATAATCAGTAATTTGTTGGTTACTGTGGCTTTTAGTTTAAGAGATATGAATTTCAAAAATCGTCGAAAAGTATCAAGCACCTCTCCTGGCAATTTTTCTTAAGAATGAAAATTTCATCTCAGGATTTCCTCTTTAACTATCGTATTCGATAGAGATTGGTCCGTTAATAAGACGCGTTGGTGATCAGATCTTAAATATCTCTTTAGCTTACGAGATATTCAAGGTTTGAATGAAATGGGCAAAATTAGAAATGTCACTTTAGCACTTTTAGTCGCGATTTACCAATCACCTTTACTGTAGGAAATATAATTATTTTAAATTTTTATCTGATAGAGAATTTTCAGTCTTTCATAATCAGTAATTTGTTGGTTGTTGTGTTTTTAGTTTAAGAGATATGAATTTTCAAAAATCGTCGAAAAAAAGTATCATCAAGCACCCCCTTGGCAATTTTTCTTAAGAATGAAAATTTCATCTCTCAGATTTCCTTTAAACTATCAAAATCTGATAGAGATTGGTCCGTACATTAAGACAAAGGTGATCGATCTTAATTATCTCTTTAGTTTACGAGATATCTGCGTTTGAATAAAATGGGCAAAATTGAAAATGTCACTTTTTAGCACTTTCTAGTCGCGATTTTCACCTTTTTACTGTAGGAAATATAATTATTTTATATTTGTATCTGATACATACCTTTCCAATCTATCATAATCAGTAAATTTGTTGGTTACTGTGGTGTTTAGTTTAAGAGATATGAATTTTCAAAAATCGTCGAAAAGTGGTATCAAGTAATCTCCCTTGGCAATTTTTTCTTAAGAATGAAAATTTCATCTCAGATTTCCTCTTAACTATCGTATTCGATAGAGATTGGTCCGTACATTAAGATGCTGCGATCAGATCTAATTATCTCTTTAGTTTACGAGATATTCGCGTTTGAATAAAAATGGGCAAAAATTGAAAATGCCGCCTTTTAGCACTTTTAGTCGGGATTTTCCACCCTTTACTGTAGGAAATATAATTATTTTATATTTTTATCTGATACATAATTTTCCAATCTAATAACTGCAATTTGTTGGTTACGTGGCTTTTTAGTTTAAGAGATGAATTTTCAAAAATCGCCGAAAAAAAGTATCGTAAGCACCCCCTTGGCAATTTTTCTTAAGAATGAAAAATTTCATCTCTCAGATTTCCTCTTAAATCTATCGTATCTGATAGAGATTGGTCTCGTACATTAAGACGTTGCGATCAGATCTAAATATCTCTTTTAGTTTACGAGATACTCTCGCGCTTGAATGAAATGGCAAAAATTGAGAAATGTCACTTTTAGCACTTTTAGTCGCGATTTTCGACCCTATCACTGTGTAGGAAATATAATTATTTTATATTTTATCTGATACACAATTTTCCACCTACTCAATATAATCAGTAATTTGTTGGTTACTGTGGCTTTTAGTTTAAGAGATATGACCAAAAATCGTCGAAAAGTATCAAGCACCCCCTTGGCAATTTTTTCTTAAGAATGAAAATTTCATCTCTCAGATTTCTCTTAACTATCGTATCTGATAGAGATTAATATCCGCAGTACATTAAGACGCCATGATCAGATCTTAATTATCTCTTTTAGTTTGCTGAGATATTCGCGTTTGAATGAAATGGGCAAAAATTGAGAAATGTCACTTTTTAGCACTTTTAGTCGCGATTTACCACCTTTTACTGTAGGAAATATAATTATTTTAAATTTTTATCTGATAGAGAATTTTCCAGTCTTTTCATAACAGCAATTTGTTGGTTGCTGTGGTTTTAGTTTATATATGAATTTTCGTACCAGCCGAAAAAGTATCAAGCACCCCCTTTGGCAATTTTTTTCTTAAGAATGAAAAATTTCATCTCTCAGATTTCCCTTTAACTATCGTATCTGATATAGAGATTGGTCCGTACATTAAGACGCTGCGATCAGATCTTAATTATTCTTTTAGTTTACGAGATATTCGCGTTGAATAAAATGGGCAAAAATTGAAAATGTCACTCTTAGCACTTTTAGTCGCGATTTTCCACCTTTACTGTAGGAAATATAATTATTTCTATATTTGTATTCACAAGTATACTTTCCGTTAATCTATCATAATCAGTAATTTGTTGGTTACTGTGGCTTTTAGTTTAAGAGATATGAATTTTTCAAAAATCGTCGAAAAAGTAAGTATCAAGCACCCCCTTGGCAATTTTTCTTAAGAATTGTACTTCATCTCTCAGATTTCTCTAACTATCGTATCTGGATAGAGATTGGTCCGTACATTAAGACGCTGTGATCAGATCTTAAATATCTTTTAGTTTTACGAGATATCTGCAGTTTAATGAAATGGGCAAAAATTGAGAA